AGTTCTGATCAAAGAGATTTTTGAAAGTTTTGACTGTTACAAACTTTTTGTGAACTGTTAAACTGTGTTCTTAACATGCCTTTGCATACTCAGTTTAAGATATGATTATTCTCTTTATTGACTTTGTTGATGGCACATCAATCTAAGTTGGCTGGATTTGACATGATGTATTGAACAACAAAAGATCTTTTTTTTCTTCTTAAAAAACAATTTATTATGCATGATGTGGCAAAATGAATTTTAGAGCATGGTACCAGTAATGCCAAGGTCACCATTTTGATCMCCATAGGGRCCATTTGCTTAAGAGTTGAACTTGATAATCKTTGTGAGTCCCTTCCAACTCTCTGATTCTGTGAAAATGGCATTCCTCTAATCTCTTGATTGTTCAAATCAGTGTAATAAAAATGCAGTGAAGAACTGAGGCCTAAGTCTAGCAATTTATATTTGCTTTTATAATTCCTTTTTCATTTGTTATGATTGCAACTGATTTCTAAGTTAAATTTCCTGAGGTAAAATCTAGAAGAAGGGTTCCATGATGCCAAATGGAGAACAGATGCAGAACTGAAACTCCTGTCCCAAGTCTTGCAATTTAATTGGGGTGGGGATGTCACAGGTGAATTTCTGTCTGTGTGAGGGGCCCCTGGGTTCCCTGCTTTGCCACCTCAGGCAGGCAATAGACTTTATAAAGGGTAGAAAAGAATCTTGATAAAGGTCTTACCCTGCATCTAGTGAGAAGAGAACTCAAGATTTCCTCAAGAATTGCCTTGGGCCCAGTTTAACAGGAGTTTGATTTCTTTTCCTGAATTTAGAGGTTGAATATTTAACCTGTGATGGGAGACTCGGAGTCCATAAGGACATCACTGTTATATAAYACTGAGTTGAACTAAGGGACTCAGATCCAGCCTTGGCTTGCAGTGTCAGCTCTTCCCTTTTCATGCATGATTTTAAGGTGTGCAGTGTCCCTTCAGTTAATTAAAAGATTGACTTTGTCATAKGCAGTACCTGAACCACAGGCAAAAACCTTCAAAGTGTGAATTCTGTGCAAGAAGAAAGATAATTTGAACTATTTGTTCATCAAAAATGTTTCTCAGTTGCTGTCACCTGCTGCATTGAAGTGGCTCTGTGCCTGGTTTTGCATTTCCCTCAAAGTCCATCYAATAAATAGTCTTTAAAGTCAGCTAGGAAAAAAAAGTTCAGTTATGTCTCTTATACCAAGTATGTGCAGATGAGTGTGTGTAAAAACATTTTCTGGTGGTTTTGCCTGCCAAAAGGGAATGAAAAAAGTCTTTTTTTTGTGCTCTATGAGAAAGAAACGTGTTAGTAAAATGGCATTTGGCTAATAGTGCAGCAGATAAAAACTGGGTCATGGCWGCAGAGGTGGAAAGGGCAGAAAAGAAAGAGAGGAAAATTATTTCATTTGGAGGTGAAGGTCATCTGAAATAAGTGATTTCACATTTAAAAGGCCACTAAGGACAAAATTGATGAATGTTAACCTAATTTTCTATTTCTTTATTTCATTCTTTTTTCTTTTGTCATTTGTAATGCTTACGTGTTCAGGAAGTTGAGGTAGGTTTTTCAATTTTAACTTGTAAATATTCATGGAATGAATAGACATATTTACAATATATCATAATTAATTCTATATTTTAGACTCTTAAAATCAACTGTTAATATTATTATAAATGAAATGCATTGTTTCATGTTAATTATTATTGTGTTAATATTAATTGATATGTTAATATGAAAATTGATTGAGTTTAATTTGTTATAGAAGGCAAAAGGGATTTTAATCCTGAGTATAATGCTCAGAAATGCACAGATTTCTTTCTGTCAGGAGGGTGTTTTACTGCATTGGAATTCTCAATCTCTTTAATCAAGCCAATTGTATTTTTGCATGTATATATATATATATATATATATATATATATATGCTGCTCCACTGTTGGAAGAGGTTACAGTGAAGTGATAGTATTCCTTCAGAGATGATCAGAGTTCCACCTTCTAACAAAAGTCATCTGAGGATATTGTTATAAATCTCAGCGCCTCAGAGTATTGGCACAAAGCCCTGTCTGTTTCTGAGTCAGAGCTTCAGGTGTGTATTTAAATGTGACAGAGATTTTCTGCTCAGCCATATCCACAGGGTGAATTTCACCTTTATGGTGCCATAACCCTTCAGTCTCAGTTTTTGCTGGTATCGATGCTGAARTGAAGCCCTGGTGCTGTATTTTGTGCTGTTTTGGTTTAATCCAAATGCCAGCCAGCTGTTAACTTACATCCTCCCCACTTATCTGGGTGGCATAGTGGGAAGAATTGGGGGGAAAAAAGGTAAACCCTGTAAGCTGTGCTAAGAGCAGCTTAATAATGATAATAAATATGAGGGAAAGATAGATTAATAAACTCCAACAAAGGCATGTAATGCCCAGTACAATTTTCACCATCAGCTGAGCAATGTCCAGCACTGACCATCTTCCCTCAGCCAACTCACCCCAGTTTATGTACTGGGTTTTAAGGTGTGGGATRTCCCTTTGGCCWGTTTGGGTCACTTGWCYTGGSCATTCTTCCTCTTGGCTCCTYGCTGAAGAAACCTGGAAAACAGAAAAATCTTTGGCTTGGGGAAACGCTCCTCAGCAATAACCAAAACATGAGTGTGTTACCAACATTATTCTCATCCTAAATCAGCWGYACCAGCTGCTAAGAGGAAARTAAATTCTACCCCARCTGAAACCAGGACACTTAYCCAACTGGCATAAGTTATTTTGAAACTGCTATTGACTGTATTGCTCTAATGTATGTATAGTCATTATTTACTCCTGTAATAATAATGGAGTTTATATATTGAAAATCTCAAAGGTTTTCTCTATTCCACCTTTTAGGGTTTTCCCCCCCCCGTATTTTTTGTTGTGTATTTGCTATGTTATCATGCAGTGGTTTCAGGCACATTCTAAAATAAACATATTGAGTTTTCAAAATGGAATACTAAACAGGAGAAGAGGAGGAGTAATAGATCTACAGAAGAGATGGCTGTGTTGTAGGTATTTTTGTGAGGAAGATGCATTTTTGGTAAAATATTCCTTTGACACTGGAATTGCGATAAGCCCCCTTTCCAATCCTTATTTCAAAACTGGTTCCATATGCCACCAGCATAAGAAATCATTGTTGGGAGCTGAATTATTTAACAGTTTCTGATGCTGAATACCCAGCAGCAAAGCAACACCTTGGAAAAAATGTAAGCAAGCAAAAAAAAAATTGTTGCTGAAAAAAATTTCTGCTATAAAAGCTGAAAACTCAATACGTTCTGAAAAGTGATTAATGCTTGGTGAATTTAGCAGAACATCATCATCAATTACAAAGCATTGTATAACCATGAGGGGTTTTGTATTAGCTAAGCTGTGGAATTCAAAGGCAAGCTTGTGATTCTATTTCTGATGCTAAACCCTGTACTTGTGAAGGAAAAAATATGGATACTTTTGATGTATCTGAAATAAATTAKGAATAATAGTCTTTGCTGTTATTGTGGAACATTATCTCTGTCCATGAAGTCAGAATAGATTCCGAGCATGAATATGTTGGTGAAAAAAGACCCCAACATTTTCTCCTGCTTGTCATGCAGAATAATTTGATCTAGCCCAGCATTTGCCCATGCTTTTCTGCCCCAGAACAGGCAGAGAAGGAAACCAATCCATGATTCTCCATGATGTCTCCAGAGTGTTCAGAAAATTCATCTCCTGGTATTCAGTGAGGCTGTGGAGTCCTCACTTCTGCTGTTCTGAACCCATAAAGAAAGTCATGCTGACTTCCAAGTCTCCAAAATATTCCAGGTTAGGGTGACTGGATAGCATGAAATTCAGTGTACTGGAGATAAATGGTAAACAAAGTCCTATGAAAGAAATAATTTAGATGTCTTATTCACACTGATGGGTTTTTAGTTACCGCCCTGGCAGGAAAAAGAAATCTCAGTGTCATTCTGGACAGCTTGATGAATACATCTCTTTAGTGGCATCCCTCAGGAAATGAATATAGAATACTGGATATATTAAAAAGGATACAAAGATTAATATGCAGAAAAATATGAGAGTGTTGTGGAAAGATTTTACGCTTCCTCACCTCAAATAGATTATTCTGTTGTTATCACATCCTCTCAAAGAGGACACAAGTGAGATACACAGAGTGTGCTGAAACTGATATATCAGTTGGGCTTAAATCCCAGTTCTTCAGCACTCGGGTTGATAGCACTCTGAAGCAGGGAAAAACTTTGCCTTCAGATAAATATTTGCTAATTACACAGAATACAGATTGATCTAACACATGGAAGAATTTTCTATTCTTTCTGCAAAGAGAATAGTTTGCAACAAGATCATTATTTGKCCAGGCTCTCTGACAGTCTCTGCCTTCTCCAGTGAGAATTATATAAACCAGAACTGCAACACTCACAGCACAATGATCTCTTTAGTTCAGATTTCAGAAAATTTTCAAAGTTTAATAAGGGTAGCAGGCACAAAAATATTCAGTGCAAGTGCTCCTGGATGTAGTTGTACTTYAMGTGTAATATTTGCAATGTTACTGCYGTATTTCTGTACATTCACAATGTTGTGATTTACATGTGTCCAGATAGATATGGCTTTGAAATCACTTTGCTGACCTTTCATCACACCAGGATGGTGTGGGTCATGTTACACTATCTGAACAAAATGCTCTTTGTTGTCAAAGACTGTAGACTAACATGTAATAATACAGAGTTATTATGAAATATTTAATAATGGGTCTGTTTTGAAAAACAGTCTAGAAGAAAAATTCAAGTACTGAATCCAAGGACATTTTTATTCTTCAACCTGCATTAACTACTCTTTAGGACACAACTTGTTGRTAGTCTTACCTGATTTGAGCTAAATTTGTTAGAATCACAACATGAGTTGATGCATTTGTAATTTAGTTGTATAATATTGTACTGAAAGTACTGATTGTGTTTTTCCTGARTTTTCTCCTTTTTTATCCCCATTTAGGATGATTATTTCAGAAACTGGAATCCAAACAAGCCGTTTGATCAAGGTAAACTTAATACTCATTTTGTGCTTGTCTTCTGCTATTTTGTGATATCCCCATATGCTYTATGCCTCTCTTCCTCTCTCTGTCCCGTGCATTAGTGGAGAGCTGTATTCATACTTACATCTCATTCCCAATTTAGTCACAGCTTGAGGTGGTTTRTGCAGAAGAGTTTGACTCATCTCAGTATTTTTTCATCGTGTTTTTTAATCCCCATCCATTCCACTTTATATTCAATGATGAAATGTGTGCTCAGAGAGATTTTCTGTAACCATGAATCTTGGTTTAACATGCAATTTAAAACAGGAATCTTCACGTTCATTTTCTTTCATGTGAAAGGCTTTGCTAAATTAATGTYATAAATGTAACTACTGCATTTCCTAACACTCAAGGGGCCAATTCTTTGAAGCCAACTGTAATATATGAATTTCAGGGCTGGTTTTAAAGAGAAAATGGTGTTTTGTATATGCTGCTGTTTCAGGTGCAGGCTCTGTAAATGACATTTTGCACTTTGTCTTGGTAGGTTTTTAAGYTATGGCAGTACTTAAAAAATCTCCAGGCCAACCACCAAAGAATAGGAAAAAAAAAACCAAAAAACATTCTAATTGTATCCAGGATAGCACTAGAAACAATAGCAATATCAGGAAAAAGAAATTCAAGATTACTGCCTTGTTTAGTAGGAAAATACTTATTGGAAGTATCTGAAGGTGCTTTTGAAAATTTCATTTTACTTCTATTTCTGTATTTCATTGCCAAACATGTCCCTTGTAATGTCTGAAGCTCGCAGGAATATCACTGGGGGCTTGTGCAGGTTAGAGCTTAAGAGTGTAGATTCTCTGTCTTTAGGGAAATGGAACTTCAGTGTCAAAGGAAAGGCAAAGTTGATGCTTCTGTCAAGACACATATCCTCAGGGGTTTTCAAAGGCATTTGAGGGATTTGGGGTTACAAATCCTATTGACTTCAAATGGAACTTGTGTTCCTACCACTTTCAGAGGCCTTGTGAACCTCTGTCTTCCCAAGAGGAAAAACAAAAAGGTAAATCCTGGCAAAGCATTGCAGAGAGGTTTTGGACTGACATGCTTTAAAACTGCCCTGTTTATTGTGTTACTGAGATGTCTGACTCTGGGCAAAGCCAGGAATGGTTGTAGAAATCTAAAGTCAYACATGGATACCTTGAAGGGACATGTTGGACATCTGTTGACGATTTCAGTCTCTTTGTAAAGGAAAGAAGCATTTCTATTTCAGTGTAGAGTTTCTCTGACATGATGGATATCTCTGGTCAAGAAGCAGAATGCAGACTGAGAGATGCAGTCTGAGCAGGGTACTCTGCCTTGCACAAAGATCTGTGCACTGCTTTTTTCTCACTTAAATCTTACAAATGGATTTTATTTGGCCAGTAGGTCCTTAGTCTGACAGAGGTCACTRCTCTTGACTGTGGCAAAATTCACCCTACTAGAACGTTAAAAATAGCCACTCAAACTTTCTAAAGAGATTTATTTGAAAAAAAAAAAAAAGTTTGAAAATTGTTGATTATTTTAGTTACATATACACAGAGTCTTTAGCCACTGATCCCTATGTTGTTGTCACCCAAAAAATTACAAGAAATCATACGTTGCTGCTTTGGGCCTTATGAGTCAGATGCTGACAAGACTAATCCTCAGTTTATTGATGCATATAGGTATGGATATGTGTGTAAATATATGCACACTATATTTAAGTGTATGCAGTGAGAGTTACATTAAAATAGAAACTGCTGAGATGAAGGAAGGAAGGAAAATTTTCTATTTCCCAGATGTTTGCCACCAGAGGTTTAATTTCTGTAATTTTCCACATAGAGGAAAGAGAACAGTCAGAAGAATTTGTCCCAGATCTTTTATGCTGCACAAGCTGCAAGGCAGTTGTTTAATCKGTTTTTACTTTTCCATTCTTCCTGCCCTGGTATTTTTTTCCATGCTGCTCCTTTTGGCTTTGGGTTGTTTAAATGCCCCCTATGCTCTTATATGGTTTTGAAGAGAGAAAAGCTTTCATTTGGTATTCTTTGGGAYTCTGATATCCAGAGAACCTGTGCAGATCCTGCGGTGAGGAGCCCTGGCTTGCTCCTRTGAATTCAGTAGCAGCTCTCTGTTTTCACCACACAATTGTTATTTTGAGAGGTATACCAAAGGCAACTTTTAACCTCACAAGACCAAGGTTTTTCCTTGTTACTGAAGCGAAAAAACTTCTCCAGTGGGTGAATGAAAGCAGATTTGGGGTTTTATAGGAAATTTGAGTCTGGTGTCACCAAGCCAAAGCTCATTGTGTGAACACCCACTCTTTGGACAGGTTTACATRGTTTTACTATTAAAAATCTACTTCTCAATTCTAAATCTAAAATTCTGCTTGAATATTCTAATTGTGAAGCGTTTATGTGGAGCCAGACTGTAGAACCAGGCTGTAGGAGCTGGAAGGGCAGGGCAAGAAGTAACTAAAGGCAGGAAGTGCCAGCCAGAGGGATCTCACAAAGGCAGCTGGAGGATTCCCTGTATTTAACAGATTTAAAAACCACCAGTAAGCAGAGGTTTTGAAAATCAGCAGAATTCTGCTTCCAGGCTCGTACTTCATTTTCATCTTTTAAAGAAGTCTGCTGCATCCAACGAACTCAGTATTCTTTTCTAACAAAAATCTGGCTTTATTCAGCAGGATGAATTATTTAATTGTGCACTGAAAAACAATAGCAGTGTAATCAAGCTGTCTGCTTTCTGTTGCTGTGTGGAGGGAAATACCTGAATGTTTATCTCAAGAGAAGAAATACCTTGTTTTGTAAGAAAGCACTCATGGCTTTCACTGAAACCACCTCTAGGGAGTGACACRAGGTATCTTCGGATAACAGGGCTGTTCAAAGGAAATCAACTTGAATGGTTCAACTGCAACTCAGAGGGCACTGGAGTGATCAGAGTTTATTTTTAGCTGATCTACCAGCCCTGCTTTCTATTCATCTTTAACCCAGGAGAAACCAATCCAAAGGTGAGCATCTTACCGACAGAGCCCAGCTAACGAGCACTYGGACTGCACAAGGCGGCAGAGTTTGCAGCCTGGAAATGATTGCTGGTCATTAATATTGAACTCRATTCTGTCACAGTTACAGAAGCAAGAAAGCAGAAGAGTAGAAGGGGCAGGTTTTCATGATTTTGAAATATGAATCAAAGGGTTGGGKTTTTTTTTTCCTGACAAGGTCATTTGAGAGTTCTTAAGGAGCTTGACAGGTAACCTGGCATACTTTCCTAGTCTTCTTCATCCACTTTGAAGAAAGAAAAGAGGGAATTGGGGAAAACTTTAACATAACTCAAGTGAGAGATTTTGGTATATCAGATATTCTGCACATATTCAGACWTGCCAGAAAATGAACTCAGTAACACTTTATAGGTTATGTTAATTGAAACCTGTTAAATTAAAAAAAAAAGTTTAAGTAACTGAAAATTTCTGCTAAAAGCCATCCCTAAAATTGCCTTTGTCTTTTTTCCACTGTTTATTCCCGATCCTCTCCCTCAATAACTGAGATACCTGAACCGGGCCTTTCATTATCTGCCCTGGGAGAGGAAGGAATAGAAAAAATTTAAAAATTACAAACTCCTTATTGTGTGTAAATCATTAGCTGCCTGAATGGGACGTATAAGTGACTGACCCTGATGTCAGACACAGTCATTTAAACTTGGCTATCATTACTAATTACTGACATGTACTCTTATTTCAGAGAGATCCCTTGAGCACTAATGAAAGGCTGAAATAGCAAAATACCCTCACTTTTGAAGAGGAAACACTGCTTTTGAGTGRATTGAGGCCTCCAGCATAGCGTAGCCTGTGACTTTCACAGCCCAGCAGCCCTGTGGAAGTGAATTTGCCAAATTTAGAGCATTACATCTCAAGATGAATGTGTTGGTATCAATGCTTTCTGTCTTTGTGCATCGAATTCTACCTGTGTCTTTCCAGTGTTTAAATGACAAATCCAGACTCCAGAAAAAGGCTTCTGCAGCTGTGCAGAAAAAAAATTGCCTAAAATTCATAAGCCTTCCAAAACAAAAAGAGTGAAAATAGGAAGCCTGTGCTTCAGGATGAAAATCATAGAACCTGCAATTATTTTTGAACATGTAATTTTCTGTTAGCCCAGTTAAGATGTTCTTTCAGAAAAGCCTGAATAAATTCCTCACAAGGAGATGTTTAGTACTGTACATATCTCTAGCTACAAATATGTTAGTTTTATAATAAATGTTTTCTATTACAGYGCCTCAGATGGCAGATTTCAATTGAGTAACTTATTTTGCAATTTATTTTTTGMCTGTGCTTGAATTAGTTTTAGAGGCTTATTCATAGTGCAAGTGCACATGAATTATGTTTGTAAATCTTCAGTAAATCAGTCCAATTTTAGATCATGTTAACTGAATCAACCAAAAACAATAGCAGAGATGCAGCACATGAAATATACAGTCTGCCATCAAATGCATTTTGAGCACATATGGCTGCTTATAGCCAAGCAGATGCACGTGGTTCTTTTTGCATGCTAGAAATGTGATATTAAATTCCTTATAAGCTTGTAAGCAACCAATTTTGTCATTAAATATGGCACGAGAAGTGACAGCGCTGGGTCCTTGTGTGTGATTGCATTATGGYTGATGTGCTTTGAACAGAGACAGTGATCGATTGGCTGCTTGGCTGGAATTTTATTAGCACTTGGGGAGCACTTGTTAGTTTTGTCAATAATGGTGCTGGCTCRCTTTTAATATCTCTTACTTCATTGACTGTGAAGCAGACATGATTTTGAAAGGGAAATTCTTCCCTCCCCATGCTCATCCAGCTCCCATTGAAATAAGGGCATTTTTGGGGAATATCACAGAACTCAACCCCACTCTCTTTGGCATCACTGAGGGAGCAGAGTTCTCCTTCCCTTTGCTTCAGATCTGTCTATAGGAATTCATTTTTGGTAACCCACCTAGACCTTTAAAAATGAAGTGTGTATGTAAAATACATGCCT